TATTTTCTTATTTTTCTTATCATTTTAACTTTTTCCCCTTATTATTTTTTTCCTTTTTCTTTCTTCCTTCTTCTTCAAAAATCCATTGTCATCTTCATTGAAAATTCTCACTTTCAATGTCACTTTTTACCACAACTTCACCTCTCCTTTAATACTACTATTAGTTTAACTCTCTTCAATTTTAAATTTATCTAAATATTTTATTACATTTCGAACAATTTGATAAACCCATTTAGATTTCAAGATGATTAGTAGGTAATATTTAGTTTTTTTATCCAAATTTCAGTCAAACTTTTTCAATTTTCGAAGAATTCTGATTCTTTCAAAGAGATAAATTAATTGATGATACCTTCAAATTTTTGTTTTTTCTTAGAAAAATAATTAGTTTTGCTATCAATAACTCAACAAAGTCTAGAAAATAGTATAATTTTGGAAAGAAAGGAATTTGACCGAAGAAGAAGAAGAAAAAACAAAGAAAATGAAGGGCTCAACTTGACGTGGGGGTGGGGTGAAGTGAGAGTGGGAGGTGAAGAAGAAGAAAGAGAAAGAAAGAAAGAAAAATGGAGGGAAGGGTAGCTTGAAAGTAGGAGTGGAAAATGAAGTAAAATTTAAAATGAAATTAAAATTAAAGTAATAAAATTAAAATAAGTCAAAAGGTAAGAGAGAGAAATAAAGAAAAACTTAAAATGAAAAAAAAAAATCAAATTAAATTAACACATGTCACACAATAATTGATGTGTGATAACACTCTTTTTCCCCTTATTATTTTTTTCCTTTTTCTTTCTTCCTTCTTCTTCAAAAATCCATTGTCATCTTCATTGAAAATTCTCACTTTCAATGTCACTTTTTACCACAACTTCACCTCTCCTTTAATACTACTATTAGTTTAACTCTCTTCAATTTTAAATTTATCTAAATATTTTATTACATTTCGAACAATTTGATAAACCCATTTAGATTTCAAGATGATTAGTAGGTAATATTTAGTTTTTTTATCCAAATTTCAGTCAAACTTTTTCAATTTTCGAAGAATTCTGATTCTTTCAAAGAGATAAATTAATTGATGATACCTTCAAATTTTTGTTTTTTCTTAGAAAAATAATTAGTTTTGCTATCAATAACTCAACAAAGTCTAGAAAATAGTATAATTTTGGAAAGAAAGGAATTTGACCGAAGAAGAAGAAGAAAGAAAGAAAGAAAGAAAAATGGAGGGAAGGGTAGCTTGAAAGTAGGAGTGGAAAATGAAGTAAAATTTAAAATGAAATTAAAATTAAAGTAATAAAATTAAAATAAGTCAAAAGGTAAGAGAGAGAAATAAAGAAAAACTTAAAATGAAAAAAAAAAATCAAATTAAATTAACACATGTCACACAATAATTGATGTGTGATAACACTTGCCATTTAAAATCTAAAATTGATCGAAAAATGATGTAATAATATATGTTTGAAATTGTTTAGGAGGGTAATAAAACTCCCGCATAGTTAAGGAGTCTTTTTTTTAAATTTGGGACAACTTCAGTTATCATTTTATATCTTTTCTCTAAATAAATTAAATAGTACTTAAGTAATATCTAGTAAAATATCTCTATATAACTTCTACGAAATATTTATTTAATAAAAAAAAGTTGGATTGTACGTAAAACGGGCCCTCGATCTTCATGGGATGCGTGTACAGTCCTAAGCCTCAATAGGGTCTGTGGATATCGTACTTGCTTTGTCGTTTTTTTTTTTGTTTTTTAGGTTTAAAGCTACCACCCCACCATTATAATTGAAACCTAAATCTTATCATAAAGAGAACTTATGTTATATATAAGACATAATATAGGGAAAATTGTATGAAATAGCAAACTATTAATTCAAATTAAATGTTATAGCCTTAGTTTATTTTATTTGTAATTCGCAGCAAACATCCCATTTTTTGCCATCTGATTTGATATACAATTAGTCATTTTATACATTTCGGTATAAAATGCGTTTGTATTTGTATAAAAGCGAAAGAAAAAATGTATATACAAATACAAATACATATATTTTCATCCTATACACTTATAATTATATAAAATACAGATCTTATTATACAAATTACAATGTATAAATAAATTTATACAAAACTGAACAATTTGTATAAAAATTAGATGTATCTAGCGAATTATACAAATCAAAAGCTCTATAGCAAACAAAAAATTTGCTATAGAGCACAATTATGCAAACTATAGCTATAACATACAAATATGATTTTTATGTTTGTTATATGTGAAAGTTGCTCCATAATATATAAACATGACTCTTAACTTGACGTCAGCTTGTAACTATGACTTTTAACTTTAGATGTGCACAAGTAGACACTTAAACTTGTATAAAATTGAAGAAATGTACACATTTGTCCTACATGACACCTTACATGAAATTTTTGTGTCCTACGTGGCATCTTACGTGTATTATGCCATGTAGGACATGTGTGTCTACTTGTTCAATTTTATACAAGTTTAAGTGTTTATTTGTGCATACTCAAAGTTGGAGGACATAGTTGTTCGCTGAAGCCAAGTTAAAGGTTATGTTTATGTATTATGTCTATATATAATGATGACACAATGCAATATACCTGATTATAATAACAAAGTATTTATTTTTTCTGTTCACTTTTATTTATTAAGTTTGATCTTTGCATGTATTTTAAAATGATGATGAATGGTTTATATTTAATTTTTAGTTTTGAGAAATAATTTAAAGAATATATAATTAATAATGCTAAAAGTAAGTATGAAGAAAAAAATTAACTTTATACATTAAAAGTGATAAATATGAGTGAAAACATATACTCTAATATAATGGACATCATTTATGAAAAATTATACCTGACCTAGTTCATCAGCTAGTGAAGATAACAGAAGTACATGAAAGTATTTAGCATATGTGACATCATTTATGAAAAATTAGTAGGCGTTTAGACATAAATTGAGCGATATTTGACAAAAATAAAATAAAAATTGAAGTTAAAAGTTATAACATGGTATTTGAAGGTTAAAATTGTACATTTTTATGAGTGGGAAAAACATTCATTTGAAAAACATGTCAAAAGCAGTTTTTTCTAAAAACCTATCTTCAAAAATTAACCAAAAAAATCATTCTAATTAATAAATTGTATATGCTTTAACATTTGAACTCAACGTGCAGCCAAAACAATATTTGTACGAAATAGTGTTGTATAAAAAAAAAAAGAAATTGATGTGTTGATTTTTTTTAAACATTTACTTTTGAAAATGTGCAAATGGTGATAAAAATAAAATAATGGCCAGAATAATATCCTATTTGTGCAAATGATCCACTGGATCAATCACCCAGTGTCATGCAATTGCTAAAGGATATATGAATAATTCATCCCATTAACATCTACAATTCCCCCTCTTGGACTGGCTTTTCTTCAAGTAGTTTATTTTAGGCCCACTTTAGCCCAACTCATTTCACGCCCGATTATCTTGACTGAGGATTTTTACGGGAGAAGTGTACATAGAGTCGATTTAAGGATGACTATTTTAGGTTTTTGTAAATTTCTAGTTTTTGATAACAAGGGAAATCTGCGGTTGTTATTCTTTGGGTGCGCGCACATGATAAAATCTGCGTTCCTATGCAATAACTCACAAAACACACATAAAAACTTAGTTTTTTTTGTAAACATAATTGCTTCATAATCAATTTTAGATTTACAAGAGTAAGGGGGAAAATCCGGTTCTAAAATTTGACATATTATTTATGCTAGTAAAACTTTAGATATTTCTGTCAAATTGACAATCAAACTTAAAATGCTTGAAATTTGAATTAGCAAGTCTAAACTTGGAACCCAAATATCAATTCTTCTTCTTAGACTTTTTAGGAATACACATTTTTTTAATTATGTCCAATTGTCATTTAGTTTCAGAAATAAAGTCATTTCCCCATAAAATATATTTTTAAAATATTTTTTTCACATCAAACACACAAAAAATATCATTTCAAAGACCTTTCTTTAAATTTCGTTTTATTACACTGACCTCCCTTATGATTTAGAATAATACACTTATCTCTTTTATTTTTAATTTTTTTTAACGATTCTTTAAATCTATTAGTAATGTAAAAAAGTTGTAACATATCTAATTTACTATTTTCTAACACTAAAATGCTTTAATTGATTAACTACTTTATGATATACTCTTATTAGTTATTAGTTTTATTCGAAATTGATATATTCTTATCAGATTTGCTCGTATTTCCCTTTTGGGTTAGTTTAATTTATTATTTTTCCGTTTTTTTTCTTTTACCATTATTTTTCTTTCCTTTGGGATCATTTTACTAATTTCATATTTGACCAATTTTTTTTTTATCCATATTTATACGAGTCGATTACAATTCAATCCGTTTAAATTTAATCCACTCCTCTTATTTGCCTCCCTAGTTATGTCCAATTACTGGAGAATTTTTAATTATTCATGATCGGTTGATTGATTATTTCTTTTTTTTTTCATCGTTGGTTGATTATTTCAACTTTCACCTGCTACACCCTCCACCATTTGCTTCCCCTACTGCAATTTGGAAAAAAGATGTCCAATTCACAAGTAAGTTATCTTATTTTAGTGTTACTAATTTCATTTATTATAGTAAAAATAATCTTTGAAGTAATTGTCTTTAAATTCTTTTGATCCCTTTGAGTTTGTTATAAACTGAAAATATATGATCAATATAATATGAATATATATGCCAACGTGGCTACCTATGACCTCTCCGTACAAGGCTGTTCCACTTAACCACTATCATCCCGTACAACTTTGCCCTTTCTTCCTCAGGCTACCTACCCCCCGCCCCCCCCTATAAATACACTTCAACCCTTTCTCTGTTTCAGGAGTAATTTTGGTGGAATACAATGGGGAAGGTAAGGATTTGAAAATTGATTCTCCATTTTGATAATTTCTCTCATTATTTTGTATCCATGATTTGATAAGGCTAACTGTCATTGTGTGAGGTTTGCAGAATAAGAGCAGCAGCAAGAATATTGAAGGCGAGATGAAGAGCGAAGAACAGCACAAGGAGAAGAGGGAAGGAGGAAAGAATGAACAGAACAACCGAAATGTGGTTTTGAAAGTGGAGTTCCATTGCGAAGGTTGCGTCCGTAAGATTCTCAAAGTCGTTCGAAGCTTCGAAGGTAAAAATTATTGTATGTTGCTCTGTTTTGTTCCTTCTTATTGATTCCAAGTTAGATTTTAGACAGATTACTGTGAATGTTGCTCTGTTTTGTTCCTTCTTTTTGCTTCCAAGTTAGATTTTAGACAGATTATTGTGCATGTTGCTCTGTTTTCATCCAATCCGTTCGTTTCCTTGTCTCTGATTTTCCTAATTTCTGGTCTGTTACGGCTGAAAAAGGCGTGGAGAAGGTGATCTCTGATAGCGAAACCAATAAGGTGACGGCAATCGGAGAAGTGGATGCGTTGAAGCTAAAGGAGAAGGTGGAGCGAAAGATGAACAGGGCTGTACAACTTATCTCTCCTTTACCAAAGGATTGTAAGAAAGAGAAGAAGCAGAATGAAAATGAACCAAAGAGTACCAAAGGAGACGACAAGAAAACCAAAGAGAAAGAGGTAATGCTCCTCGCTGCATATTCTCTGTTTACTATTCTGCACAAATCTGTTTACGTCGTTTTCATTCTGTTGCATTCTTTTTGTCTTTTAATGCATTCGGCGCAGTTTAGCCTTTTATGGTGAGCCTTATATTAAGGATTTATTCAAAATTTACGTGTGCAAATTAAATGATGGTTTTCCGATGAATATTACTTACTGATTAATTATCCATGTAGCCTCCGGTAACCACTGTGATACTGAAATTGCATCTACATTGCGAAGGATGCATCCAGAAGATTCAAAAAACTATCACTAAGAACAAAGGTGAGATTGATTAATCAACATTCTTCTTATGCTGTCCATTTTAACTATAGTTAGTTATCCTGAATGGAAATGCAGGTTACAAGGAGATGAAAATTGATCAGGAAAAGGAATTGGTGACAGTGACTGGTTCAATGGACATGAAGGAACTGGTGGAGGTACTGAAGAAGCAGCTGAAGAAAGATGTCCAAATTGTCCCGCCAAAGAAGGAAGGGGGAGAGAAGAAAGAAGGCGGGGGCGGAGGTGGAGGGAAGGGCAACGAAAAAGGGAAGGATGGGCAAGGCGGCGGCGAGAAGAAGGAACAATATGAGTATCCGGAGCTGGATGCAACTGCATTTCATGCTACTCAGCTTTTCAGTGATGAAAATGCCAATGCTTGCAGTATTATGTGATGTTTAGAAAAATGTAGATGAAAATTTGTAAATAAAAAATAGGAAGATTGGATATCATTATTGTTGAATTGGCTTAATTATGAACAGTTTCATTCCCTTTTTGCTTTGTATGAACATTAGTGAATGTTACTGAGCTAATGAGGTTAGTAGGAGAAATATTTATGTTAAATATATGGAGTACTTCATTTTCTACTGTTCTATTGTCTACTCATGGTGGCATTGGTTCATTCATTTGGTAGAAAGGTGAGTGATTAGTTCCTTTTCCATGCTATGAATAATACAAATTAAAGTAGGATGCCCATTTTCAAAAAACAGGTCTAACCACAATTTCAATTTTCAAATATCATTTATAACTCTTTTTTTTTCTTTTCAAATAGTACTATTTTATTTTAAATTTCACAATTTTTATGTTAGATTGCCCCGTCAAGTCCATGTAACCGAACATAAAAACAAAGATATTTTTATTATCAAGAGACAAGAGAAGGGACTATAACTATCATTGCAACCATCAATTAGTTGGAATTATTACACCTAATGTTATGTTCCTGCAAAGAGAAAAAGATAACCCTGGTTGAGACAAGTTTATGCAAGAAATTTCTTTTTAGTGTGGAGGCAATTGCTTATGTGTAGACAAAAACAGGGGAGACTGAGATGCAGACAGACAGACTGACGCTCTATTCCCACTTTCCTTGGCCTATTTTTGTGCAGGCTTTTCAATTGTTGCAGTTAATTTTCAACACATGAAAAATTTGTTGGAAAATATTTTCTCAGACAAATATATTTGATCACGTTTTCTTATTTTAAAAAATTTAATCCAAGCATTCTCATTTTTTCCATTACTGGCAAGTACATTTTGTATCTAGTTAAAAATAAAAACACAAAATAAAATTGAGATTAAATTTTAGTTTTCCCTTTTTGTTTTACATGGAATAAAAAATAATCATTTCTAGATATCAAAAGTAAATGATATACAAATTACAATTGGCGAAAACATCAGTTATTGAATCAATTTGAATTATATTTCCAACATGATGTGATTATTGATTATGTGTTTTTGCTGAACACTTACACTGCCTATATATTTTGCTAAGAAACAGTAGGAAAATGGAAAATAATACGAACCAAATAAAAAAAGAGCAGAAAATCCAAAGACCATTTTAAATTTGTAATCCTCCTAAATTATCGATACTAGTCTCAATTACCTGAATTTAGTTAGCTATTTAATACTTAGCTTTTATCGACGTGGCATTTTTCTCATATGACAAATAATCAGTGTGACATTTTCAGTTCCTAGTCAATTTACGCAACTTAAATAAGAAGAGAAGTCACAATTCTCGAAACATCACCGATCAAATTCTCCTGAACTTCAACAGTAAAACTGACACGTGTATCATCTTCTTCCCACACTCTTCTTATAAATATTCATCCAAAAACATCTTCTTTTACCCTCAAAATCCTCATCCTCAGAACTAGAATCACAGAAAAAAGAAGATTAATACACATCTGATTATTGCAAAATCTTCTGATTAACATATACTTTTTCAAGGTAACTTTTTTTTTTCCCGTTTGAATTACATATTATTGTAGTTTTTTCTATCTGATCGGAAACTTTTTTTTTCTGAAAATTGATAGATGGTGTCGGATGCGAGTAAGAAGAGAGAGGCGCAGAAGAAGGCAGCAGCAGCTGCGAAGAGAGGAGGGAAGTCTAAGGCGGCGGTGATGAAGGCGGCAGCGGCTGCGACAGCTACTCCGGCGGAGAGTAATGATGTCGATGAATTAACGAATGGGGTAGGAGATATTCAGTTGTCTGATCGGACTTGTACCGGTGTTTTATGTTCACATCCACTTTCCAGAGATATTCGGGTTAGTTCCTTTGGGTTTTCTGGAGTTGAATTGTTGGATTTATTACCGCCGGAAAATCTAGTTTGATTCATAGGGGGAAAACTTGTGCATAACTATAAACACAAACAGTTGTATATTTAGGAATTGAGAGTATTTCCAAAGTATTAATGACTTGGAATTGAAAATATATAAGTGGAAATCATTTCAATCAAGTTAGCAACATTTTGTCTTGAATTTTGTAGAAATTGTCATATTATTGCCCATAAAAATATTTGAACCATAAATCTAAAAAGATATTATGAAAAAAGTTTTGTTTTTTTAAATAGAAAAACATTCTAAATTTTGAAAAAAATGAGGTGCAAGACTGGCTAAAATACCCAAAAATCTCAACAAGCTAAATTATGAACACATCAATAGTCTGGTCTTGGATGTTTTTTGCAATACACTCTCTAAATGCTTAAATAAATGATTTTTTTATTCATGGGTTTATCTCCTCTCGTTATTCGTCATTGCTAACTTATGACACCTATGATCCTTTGATTGTTCACTTCCTTGATCTCCTTTGCACTAGAACAATCACTTGGGTGTTTTTGTGCATAGTGTGATATTCCAAATCTTGGTACGTTAATCAGTCTATAACCGTGGGGCTTTGGTCTAGCGGTAAGAGGACAAACCACATGTGTGGGTTAGCTGCGTATAACGGTCTCAAACCATGTGTCACTAGCCCTCAGAGATTTCTTGATTAAAAAGAATCAGTCAATAGCTGAAGGCTGAAGCTATCCCATATTCACTTAGTTAGGAACAGGGGTCTTGATTGGTGAAGTTGCATATGGCTATCATTACTCATGAACAAGAAGCACCCCTGTTTATGGTTTTGGACTTACGGTAACTATAAAAAAGATTATTACCTAGAGGAAGTTTTCTTTCATGCAAGACTCGCAGTTATATTAATTCTGGTATTCTTTGCTTGCAGATAGAATCGTTATCACTTACTTTTCACGGACATGATCTTATAGTTGATTCTGAACTGGAGCTTAACTATGGAAGGTAAGGTTTGTTATCTCTCTGTGTTACTGTTTCCTTAGTATAGCTGATGGTCATATCCTGGGATATTAATTGCACAGACGTTATGGTTTGCTTGGGCTTAATGGCTGTGGGAAGTCTACTCTTCTTTCTGCTATAGGATGTCGTGAACTTCCCATCCCAGATCATATGGATATCTTTCATCTAACGCGGGAGATTGAAGCGTCTGACATGTCCTCACTTCAAGCTGTTATTAGTTGCGATGAAGAGAGGTTGAGATTGGAGAAAGAAGTTGAAGTCTTGGCTGCACAGGTATTGTGCCCTGAATAATAAACTGGCAATGTATTCCATAGGCTTGGTCTTCTCTTTTTGGGCGAATGTGACGACTCGTTTTGTGTCTATCCTTAGGATGATGGTGGTGGAGAGCAACTTGAACGCATCTATGAGCGTTTGGAAGCTTTGGATGCATCAACTGCTGAGAAGCGTGCAGCTGAAATCCTGTTTGGTCTTGGATTTAACAAGAAAATGCAAGAACAAAAAACACGAGATTTTTCCGGTGGATGGAGGATGAGAATTGCTCTTGCTCGTGCCCTGTTTATGAATCCGACCATTTTGCTGCTTGATGAACCCACCAATCATCTAGGTAATCTTCTTATGCATTTTTCTAGTATTTAAGATATTGTGTTGTGACATGCTTGGTTTGGAGACATTGTTAATTACATTCTGGACGAATGAATATAATGAAAACTGACGTTAAAGAATTTAATATGGGACCTTAGACATGTTATTTCACTCTGGTTACAGCATTTCTCCCGGTGCGTCTTTCTGTGATTGTTTCCCTCTACTAAGTAGTGACGCGAAGTTCCCTCCTAACAGAAAGGAAATACAAGGATGACATAGTATATTGTCCTTTGTTCATACTAATGGATCTAATGGAAGGTTTGCTGAATTTTTCAATCACAGATTTTTAGATTTGACATGCTTATGATATTCTTTTCCTGAATACAGACCTAGAGGCTTGCGTGTGGTTAGAAGAAACCTTGAAGAAGTTTGACCGTATTCTGGTTGTTGTTTCACACTCGCAAGACTTTCTAAATGGTGTGTGTACTAACATCATCCATATGCAAAATAAGAAGTTGAAGCTCTACACCGGTAATTATGACCAATATGTCCAAACCCGTGAGGAGCTGGAAGAAAATCAGATGAAACAGTACAGATGGGAGCAGGAGCAGATTGCTTCAATGAAGGAGTACATTGCTCGATTTGGACATGGATCTGCCAAACTAGCCCGTCAAGCACAAAGTAAAGAGAAAACACTGGCTAAGATGGAGCGTGGAGGGCTTACAGAGAAGGTGGCGAAGGACAAGGTTCTGGTCTTCCGTTTTCCTAATGTTGGCAAACTTCCCCCTCCTGTTCTGCAGTTTGTGGAAGTGACATTTGGCTACACACCTGATAATCTCATTTACAAGAACCTAGATTTTGGTGTAGACCTTGATTCAAGGGTAGCACTGGTGGGACCTAATGGAGCTGGAAAGAGCACTCTACTTAAGCTGATGACAGGGGAATTAGTTCCCCTTGATGGCATGGTTAGGCGGCATAATCACCTGCGGATTGCACAGTTCCACCAGCACTTGGCTGAGAAGCTTGACATGGAATTGTCTGCTCTACAATTCATGATAAAAGAGTATCGTGGGAATGAGGAGGAGAAGATGAGGGCATCAATTGGGAGATTTGGCCTTACTGGTAAAGCTCAAGTAATGCCTATGAAAAACTTGTCAGACGGTCAACGTAGCCGGGTAATATTTGCGTGGTTAGCTTTTAGGCAACCTCACATGCTGCTTCTCGATGAGCCCACCAACCATCTCGATATTGAGACAATTGACTCACTTGCCGAGGCTTTGAATGAATGGGACGGTGGCATGGTTCTTGTTAGTCATGATTTCAGGCTCATAAACCAGGTTGCCCATGAGATATGGGTTTGTGAAAATCAGACTGTGACACGGTGGGAGGGTGATATTATGGACTTCAAGCTACATTTGAAGGCGAGGGCCGGATTGGGTGATGAGTGAAGCAGATGTTCCAAGTTTTAGTACTACTAGGAAGTCATAATATGACTGCTTCTCCTGGCTAAACGTTTAGTCCGAAGAGAAATTGGTCAACATCAGCTGCAGCAGGCCAGCAGTAGCTACAGTTTTAGTTAC